CACACGCACACACACACACACACACACACACACACACACACACACACACACACACACACACACACACACACACACATATATGACTTGTTTTATGGAAGAGGCCCAAAAATGAGATTGTGGAAAGAAAAGCCATGATGTCATCTACTCGTCTCAGTTCCTTTCTGGGGAAATTCCCACTTGTTATGCCTACTAGTTCTGACAAAATGTCCTGTTGCCTTGTGGTGGTTGAGTTTCCCATGCGCAGCCTGCCGAGACTCCATCAGAGTGTGTGTGTGTGTGTACGTGTGTGAGCCAGAGAGGGTACACTCACACATCACCTCACCTCGCTAAACCGCCGCTGACCCGGGCTGGGGAGCCGACACGCAACAGAGGTTGGCACAATGGTGCTTTAATGGGCTGTGTCAATGAACGTGTATCCACAAATGCACAAACACACACACACACACACACACACACACACACACACACACACACACACACACACACACACACTTCTCACTTATTCAACGCACTTACGTGTGTTTTCACAGTTTTATGACTACACTTGTAAAGCAGTAAAATGATGCCGGTGGACGTTCATCATCCCTAATAACTTCCATCACACGTGGCCACAAACAAGCACACAGTAGGAAACACCAAATCCATCGAGTAATTTTTCATGGTTTGATTTCACGTGAACTCAGTTTCACGACTTCACATTTAATCAGCGACATAGACCTGTTGTTTACAAGACGCTTGCCTCCTCCCCTGAGGAGGGTGGGTGGTTGGGGGGAGGCCTGACCTTGAAGCGACCTCTGGGAATGCAGCATCCCGCCTGTCTCGCTGAGAAATGTTATCTCTTCTGATGCTGTACGCACAACACACACACACATGCACACACAGACATGACACTATATTTAAACACAGCCAGCTTTCTTGGACTAGTGCACCTGCATCAATAATATTGAATTTTCCGTCTCACTGCATCTTTTACCTGAACCTGCTGGAGTGTATATTTAGGTATGAAAGAGATAGAGAGAGAGAGAGAGAGAGAGAGAGAGAGAGAGAGAGAGAGAGAGAGAGAGTACGATGGATTTTTGAGATGTTTATTTTTTTGTAGGTCTACATATGATAGATATCACTGGTAAGTTTCACGTTTCTATGTGAAATTGTTTTAGGCGTATGGGAAATCCCCCCCTCCTGGCGATTTCTTAGAATCAGCAAAGTCAGCAAATTTTACTGCCACGCTCCATCCACCAGCAGTGACAAAAACTCAAAACACTTCACAGTTTAGCATTGCCCATCTGCCTGTTAAACAAATCTGGTAGCAATCAGGCTAAATGTCTGTTTTTAAATGAGATTTTGAATTGGATTTAAATGACCCTAAAATGTCTGTTTTGAACCAAAATGGCTGACTCTGTTTCATTCCATTTCATCGGATCCTCAATAATTTTTTTTGTGCCTCTGCTCATGATAGAAATTACTGCTAGATTTCGCATCCCTATGTGAAGCAATTTTTTTCAGTTTGGGAAATCACTTATGCTGGCGGTTTATTTGGGGTACGGTGAATAAAGATGAAACAACTGCACCGCATGCTTGGGCCCCAATGATCTGAGTAGCGTTTACATTCACTCAAATGCGTGAGCGGTATTAATTAATCTACTGAAATGGATTAGAGTCCGCATCCGACTCTGCTAATCGGCCTCAGAATAATTTATAGCGACATTTATTCCGCTGTTGCGCGTGAGTCTTAGAGGCGAGCTTTATCTACATCCAGCCGCCCTCAAAAGCTCCTTTTGTGCGGCCATCCCGCCCCCTTTCGGGGAGCGCTCCCCCCACCCCCCGCCCCCGTTAAATCCCATTAGCGGACTGCAACGACAACACTCCTGCTGCTGCAGTGTCCTCCTTATCTCTCGTCTTCCACACACGTTTGGAGGCAACACTGACAAGCTAGCCCGCGGTAGTGCTGACGATGTTACTTGTTGGTTTGTATGCTACAAGCTAATTTAAAGGCGCCGAGGTAGTTGGGGTGAAAAGTAAAACCCGTCTTCAAACCTTTGGCTGCTCTTTGCCCTTCTGAGGCATTAACCTGATTTTGAATTAGGGAGGTACCTTGTAGCAAAAGCGTAGAAAATAGACGTATGGAGGCACTTGTCTCGAGATGAAAGCTGTAGTACGTTAGCTTGTCACTTTTTTCTTGTATTGCATCTCAGACCAGTTTCTTCAACCTTTATATTGATAATTGAGCTTACAGAGCAAGAACAATCTTGATTTTGAATGATTTCGATGATAATGTCAACAGTAGCTAATGCTAAGGTCAAAGGGAGGGATCTTCCTTGTCATTGCAACCCAAGACACACATTTCAGCCCATCCTCTTCAAGTTTTTCAGGGTTTTTGAACATTCAGAGCAGGAACACTATGAATTTTAAACTTTTGTAGTATACTACAGTAAACAATGTCTTTCTTTGCGTTGGTCAGGGATCACGAAGCTTTGTCTAATCCTGCGTCTACCCAGACAGACAGATTAGCTTTGTCACCGCGGCGAGGAATTAGAACAGTAGTGGTGTTGGAGACGCTCAGCGGGGCGTCTAAGTGAACATACGCGAGCCGGCTTGGTCGTGTGACCCACTGTGTCTTCGCTAAACATTTTGTTTTCTCTTGGAAATTAAATTGGACCTTTGGAAGGCATGATGTTGATGGATGGATAGATAACAATGGGTGTAGAAGCCTGAATGGATGTGAATGAATAGATGCTGGGTGAATTAATGTTCCTCTGGATGGATTGGAACTGGGAAGTCAATTCCTTGTGTGTTTTTTTTTGCATGGGGAAAAGTACGTCGCAGGCCCCACGCAGTTTGAGTTCATGTTTTGGTCGTGTTGCTAGGTGGACGTTTCCTCCCTGCCGCAGAGCCACTGACTGAGTCAAGGTTTATTTTTGATGTATTTATTTTTTGGATGACGAACTGGGGCCTAACCCTTCTGTTGGAAGTTTAACCAATCTAAGACATGAGTGAAGAAGTATTCACGTTATTGTCATTCACACTTTTTTACATGCATATTCATGAGGTTTTCGAGGTGTCGGAAATGGCCTTCAGAGGAACTAAACCTAATAGTAAAAAGAAAAAAAATAGTCATCCAGATGTTCCTCACTAGGCCTGAAAGAAGGTTTGAACACGATGATGCAGGCTCAGGCCATGGTCACAGTCTCATCTCTGGTTCGCATTAAATACATGAAAGACTTTCATCCATCATCAGACGTTGACTTGACGACGGAAATGTTTAATGTTACGCAAGCTTCTCGGCGAGGATTAATGCTCTGGTGCCTCCCGTCTTTTACAGGATTATTATTGATAAAATCTCAAGCGGATCTCCGTTCCTGAGTGTCATCTATTGCGCTCATTTCCTCCAGTCAATACCGGACTAAGAATCTAATGCGTTGGTTTGTTATGAAAAGTCCTGATTCACTCTGTTTTTTTTTTGTTTTTTGGGGGGTGTTTTGCAGACTGCATTGAGGCGACGAGGGAGCTCATTTAAGGACAAGAAATCCACCAGCCAGGTATATGTAAAACAATTACATAAAATATTTGATTTTATTTATCAAATTAAATTCATGTTAAGTTTTAATTCATTTACTGAGTTTCATGTTATTTATTTTAATTTGTTCATAATTTTGTTTTTTTAAACATATGGACTTTATAATCATAATAATAATAATTATTATTATTATAAATTTTATATTTTGTATATTATTTATGTATTTATTTATTATTATTGATACATATTTTCACTTATAGATTGTACCCGAGGAGAAGTCAGCAAATTCCCTGATTTCTGAGCTTGTATTAGAAACATAACAAGTTTAACACTTGACACTTAGGGCCCTATTTTCTTGCAAATCGGGTATTATTTTGGTGCCCAGCATAAGTCTAGCGGAAAGTGTGTATGTATGGGTGGTGTTTTCTCTCTTTGGGTATTTTTGTAGACGGGCACAGGTAGAAAGGGGAGTTTGCGCCATTTCAGTCACCAAATTGCCAAGTGTGCTGGGAGTGTATCTAAATAAAAATTCTTATTATTATTTTAAAAAGCTCAATCTTGTGCTGCAGCTTTTCTCCAGAAATTTTGTGGGTTCTCTGTCTGAAAGAGGTACAGTATAGATTTAAAATATGTCTATATAAGTCTAATTAAGAGTTTCTCGCCACTAGGATGACAGCGCTGACCTCAGGTGCCAGCTCCAATTCGCCAAGGAGGAGTCCGGCCTGATGCGTAAAAAAATGGCTAAGCTGGGCCGTGAGAAAGATGAACTGGAACAGGAACTACAGAAGTACAAGTCGGTCTACGGAGACGTGGACAGTCCCCTTCCCCTGGCTGAGTGCTCCGGCGGTGGCCCTCATTCCACCCGCGAGGCGGAGCTGCGACTGCGCCTCAAACTGGTGGAGGAGGAGGCTAACATTCTGGGAAGGAAGATCGTGGAGTTGGAGGTTGAAAACCGCAGCCTGCGGGCCGAAAACGATGACATCCGTTGCCAGTACGAACGAGACTGCTTCGGTAGGGAGCCTTTCTCGAGCATGCCCTCATCACCCTATGGCGGTGATGTGCTCGAGTCAGCCGGGGAGCTCCGCCGACACCTCCAGTTCGTAGAGGAGGAAGCGGAACTGTTGCGTCGCTCCATCTCAGAGATTGAGGACCACAACAGGCAGCTTACTTCAGAGCTCAACCGCTTCAAGTTCAGTTCCGGGCTGGTAGGCGAGGACGGAGGGGAAGGAGGACTATTTAAACCCGCTAATGGCTCCAGTGGAGGGATGATGATGGAGGAGCTGAAATCAGCCAGGATGCAGATTAACGACCTGAGCGGAAAAGTGATGAAGCTTCAATACGAGAACCGAGTTCTCCTGTCCAACGTCCAGCGTTGCGACCTGGCAGCGCACCTGGGCCTGAGAACTGGTAGTCCACGAGACAGCGATGCAGACAGTGACGCCGGCCGCCGGGAAGTAGCCGAAGACGTGGAAGCAGGGCGACTCCTTCTACTCCAACCCAAGAGGGAGGGCCCCATCGGCGGGGAGAGCGACTCTGAAGACCTCTTTGAGAAAACCACCACCACCTCGGGGTTTGGAAGTATCCGACCGTCGGATGGCATCGACCTTAGCGCCGGAGAACTTGCCAACCGCCGCCGGGAGGAACGAGAATCCTTTGCCAATGTGAAAAGAGAGGCAGATCGACTCGGCAAATCTGTGGACCGTCTGATCACTGACACGGACAGTCTGATCCTGGAAGGGAGGCTTCTGGTGACGATAGCGGAGGGTTCTCAGGGAGGAGGTGACTCCCAAGTCCTGGACACCATCAATACCCGCATGAAGGCTTTCCGCACCGAGCTGCACATCTTCGTGGAGAAGCTGGATGGATTGAGGGAGAGAACAGATGACCTGTCCCCGATGCCAAACCTCACAGAGTCCAGCAGCTTCCTATCCACCGTCACTTCCATGTCCCGGGATTCTCCCATCGGCAATTTTGGGAGAGACCTGATGACGGACATCCAGGTAATTTCAGTTCGGTATAGTGTACCATTTCTGTATTGTTGGCTTTGACCTTGCCTTAGGACATGGCATTATTGTCTCAGGGGGGTACCCCACTTCTCACCCAAAGTCAGATGGGTTTAGGTTCCAGCTTACCCGTGAACCTTACACAAAATAAGGTCAATCAAGTCCAATTTTCATTGGACTGCGATTGTTTTAAATATTTACTTTTTACGTTAAATTGAGATTTTATGATTCCATTATGTTTTGTTAATACTGCTGTCGTTGTAAATGACTCCTCTCAAATATCTGCTTTATGTCGATTTAACAACCTACCTTTCAGTGTCCATACATTAGATGTCCATTTCCGTCCAAATCAAGGGAGATCTAAGTGGTTGTCTGGCATCAGGCCACCAGAATCCCACATAAAGTTGAGGGTAACCTTAGAAGTCATAATAAATGAATAAAAATATGGGCTACTTGGTGGAAAGAGGGTTCTTAGCCAGGTGGTGAGATGGTACTTTTTGCATTGTTGTGTTTATTACTTGTCAAAGTTTGATCATTTTGAGGATTCGCCATGGTAAAAGGGGGTCCATTCAGTTAACTTCGAGGTCTTCAGAAGAATCATGTTTAGAAGCCTGTTGGGAGCCACCCAGCTCTACCACACTGGCACCGCCTACCATCTGCCCCGCCTCCGCTATCACGTCCTGCCGCCGCCACATCGCCATCTACATCTCCATGCACATGCTCCCCATAGAGCGCCGCCTCGCTTGCCGCCCGCACGCACGCACTGCCTGCCCACTTGGCCGCGATCCGAGCGTCTTTTCACTTGAGTGCATGGTGGATCGCTTCCGAACAGTCCTGCCTCTTATCTCTGTGGCTTAATGGGCGTCACTGTTTTGTGTTTGTACGTTGTCACCAAGGAGACAAACATCACGTTGTGTGTTGGCAAAGAAAAAAGGCTCTAAAGCAGGACTGCATGATGAAGGGAGCTTGTTGGCTTTCCGAATGTTTTCCAACCGCCCAGGCCGAGAAGGGAAGCTGCCTTCATACCCTCCCACTCCTCGTCCTCCTCTTCCTGCACAGCTCACTGGCTGAGTCCCGGTGGAGCTGGGTGGATTCTGCACTCGCAGCTCTCACAAGTTTGAAACATTCAGGCCTTTTGTCAGCCTGACCTCTGCCAGGGTTGAAGAAAAGAGGGGTGGGGAATCACCATATTTATCTGCTTGTTTGTCCAGTCATACCTTAGCAGGGCACTTTTTTGTTTAAAAAGGACTCAAAACAACGGGATGGTATCATTTTCTTTTTGAAGAGGGGGGGACAAACAATTCCGTGATGAGTCAAATAACAAAAAAAGAAGACAAACCCTTCAAACAAAGGTGAAGTCACTGGAATATTTGTGTTTGGCTAGCACACAGGCTATGTCCTGGTTCATGGAGAATGATGTAAGGACATATGACGTGACCATTTATTTTCTCATGTTGGAGAGGGTACTGATCCACCCTCAAAAGTCAAAAAGAGACCATTTAAAGTTGTGGAGTCAATTAAGTTTGTGCTTTCTTGTCCCTCTGTTTATTAGCTTGCAGACTTCTTCCTGGTTCGTGGACATTGGACACTCCCATTTGTTTTGTGGGGGGAGATAGGGCGTTTTTTTTTAATTGTGACTCTAATGTCAAAAAAAATGAAAATGAATGGAATCATAAATCAGCGTATTTTTGGGCTTGGTTGTCTGTCTATTTGCCAGCTAGCGGACTACTTTCTGATTCACAGAGAATGACTGAAACAGAGTTAAGATTCTACCATTTGTCTCCTGCTGTAGGACAGACGATTCTATCGTGACTCAAATATCAAAGATAGAAGCTAGGAGGAGCTAAGTTAGCTAGGAGGCTACTTCCTGGTTCAACGAGCATAACATCATATGATAGGAGGGAAATGTTGGTTCTTGGGCAGGGGTAATGCTTCCATAGTGACTCAAACATCAAAAACAGAATGAATTCATCAAAGTGAAAAAAGTAGGGTCGATTCATTTGTCAGCTAGCAAGCCTACTTTTTGATTCAACACGATTTTTGACACATCCACTCATGGTACAGCAAACCTCCTAAAATGTTTAGAATGACTTATTTGAATAGTTTAAAGTGAAATATACCACAAAATAAATGGTTGACAGATTATTTGATTTAAAAAATAATAATAAATGCACCAGTAATGTCAGGGTGCTGGCATGTATACTTGTTGGAAGCTGTAAAATAAAAACAATCTTTACTTTCTTATTAAGGCTTGGGAAAATATTCCATGAAGCTTTTTAGGCTGCTATCACGGAACTCCATCAGATTCAGTGGGGAAGTTAATACCGTTCACAGCCATTCTAATTTTCAAAGAGACTCATTTTGAGAATGAATGTTCTCTTACGTTCTCAGGAAGACCATACTTGGCGAATTCACAAGACCGTACTCGCCATTTATCAAATTGAGAAAAGGCCTCTCTCTTTAGTTTGGCACTTATTGCACCCTTTTTTGAGCATCTGGGAGGGAGCAACTGAACAGCTGCAAACTTTCTGAAAAAATGAGTTTGCGAATGGTGAATGCTGGCTCCCTGGGGGGTTAATGAAATTTAAGTTGTGTCAAGAATGTTTTTTTCCATTCTAAATACCATGGTGGCGCTTTTTAAAATGAAACCTGCAAAACAAGTTGACTTTAACGCTATCTCTCTGCTTTGTACAATACACAAGCATGTTGAGCGGCCATTTTGTTGTTCCTGACCACCTTTATTGGCGGGCTCGCTTGTCGCACTGCACCTTTTTTTGCCATGGTTATTTCTCAAGCCAGCTGCTTTGGTTTGGACTCACGTGTCCGTCATTGCATGCGCTTCATAATGAGTCTTCTGCATTCTTTCCACCCCGAACCACCTTAAATTCCCCGTCCTTCTCACCCGCCCCCTTCCTCCTTCAGATGTTCCAGCCCGTCATTTTGTTCATCCTCATTCTTATCCTGTTCTCATCTCTGTCATACGCCATCATCTTTAAGTTGGTCTTCCTCTTTGCGCTCTTTTTTCTACTCTAGTCCGTTTGTTGTCTTTTTAGTTGCCCCCAGTTTGCCCTTTTCGCTCTTGTTCATCAGCCATTCACTGTTTTTTTTCTTTCTGTGTCCCGCTGGAGGTCTTTCTTCCTCACCCGCTTTGTTGTCCTCTTGTCTTTTTTGTCCACTTGCCACATCACCACAATCTCCTCCACCACCCCCTTCCATACCCTCCTGTACACTTCCCGGACCCCCACCCACTCCTCCTCACTCACAGTCCGGTCAGAGGGATGAGCTGGAGTGGCGCGTAGGACAGGAGCGAGGCGTGGAGCCCTACAACCAGAGCAGGGGAGGTGCTGCGGGACTCGCTAGGTACCACAGACCACTGGTTTTAAGAACAGAGGTCAGTGCCCCCCCCCCCCACTTGATCCCCTCTACCTCCTCTATCCCTTCCCTTTCTACCTGTGAGACTGTGTGAGAACTTGGACCCCTGTTACTATTTTCTCAATAACCCATCAAATTCAAATCAAAGAAATATATTTTTTAAATTCTCTCCCAAATGTATTTTAAAAGCATTTGTATTTTAAAAAAACAAAACAAATATATATATATAATTTTTTTTTTTGTCTCAAACATTTACATTTATATAAAAATAAATTGTATAATTAGGCGCCTTTAATTACAGGTATATCATTGATTTTTAGAATATACATTCCTAAAAATACACACACATATTTTGTTTAAAAAAAAAAGATTTAAAACATCAAATTTTAGAAGTACAGCTATCATCTATTATTACTGTGGTTAAATGCATTTATAGAAATTAAGGCCTGCCCCCCCAACCCCGCCCCAATAAATGTCTTATCACGAATGGACACCTCGTACGTTCCACAGTTAAGTTAATAACATACGCCTGGGCCACCATGTTAAAATATGATAATGTGTGGACCTAAAAATATGAATATGACATTAAAAAAGACAATTAAATGTAACATTTAAATGGGTTTCTGAAAACTGGATTATTTATATTCCTCTTTGTCTAGTGACTCACCGTTCTTCATCAGAAGCTCAATCACCTTTTTACAGTGTCAGTTCACTTCAAGAGTACAATAGGGTCACCGTGATGTAACAATTACAGCACATCTGCGTGCGCTTCTTCCGTAATCCGAGAGGTGGAGAGGGATTGAGTTCGGGATTAGTGCTGATCTTGTGTGGCCGACGTTTGACCGACACACCAGCTCAAATTGTGGCGTTTCCAAACCTCAAACCTGAGGATCATTATTCTTAATTCGCCTGTTATGTCTGTTTCTTTGCTGCAGAAAAAAAAAATGCCACGGATCATCGTGACCTGCTGCATGTTTCCAGTTAACCCCCCACCCACCCACAAAAAAAGACACATTTGCACAAATCTGCACATGGTGTGTTAAATTTGGGTGAAATCAAGTGTCTTGTGTTAAAATGTTCATTAAAACTTTCAAATATTGAAAACAGGTCAAGTTTAACTGCAACAACAGAAGAGTTGAAGGTCTTTCTCAAAATGTTAGGCGTAGTCACATGTAATAAACATCTCACTTTTGTTTGCATGCAGCTGCGGGAGGCGCCTGCTCTTGACGTCCAGCTTCGTCTCGATCATGACCGACGGATGAGAGTCGCGACGGATGAACGGGACATTCCGGTTGTCTCGCTGCCACAGGTATGAGCATTTGCGACATGAAAAAAAAAAGTATTAGCAGCACTCCGTAGGCTTGTGTCCCTCCAATTTTACATTCGGTTACTTATTTTTCTTCCTAGCGTATGCGCTGACATTAGATTCCATTTGCAGTCAGTTGCTAACCAAAACAGCAGCACCTAATGCGGCATGCAAAGTCTTGAGTCTGTAAGAAGCGTGAATGAAGAGAGGAGAATACAAAGAGTCTGTTAGACTTGAGTCGAGTATGAACTCGTTATTTAGCAGTATCAAAAATGATCTTACATCATGTGGAGCCATTAGCAGGTAGCCAATGCCCATTAGCAGTTAGCTTTTATCAGTTCGGCGTCCCCTTGTCTTTAGCAATAAGCGGTGTTCCAGTTGACAGTGACTATGTATCACTGTAGTTCTTTTTCTTATATGTATACGTATATGTTGAAATGCGATATTTTGATCACGGTGTCCATTCTCTTTGTTTTCGTAGGAGGACGAGGGCTTGCATCCGGAGCCCCAGCGCCCGCGTCTGGAGCTGCCAGGCCTCCTGCAGGCTCCGGAGGTTTGCTGGGCTCAGGAGCGATCTGCACTACAGCAAGAAGTTCGCCTCTTCCAACGCAATACGGCCATCTTCTACATGAAGCTCAAGTCCATCCTGGCACGTTGGAGGCTTGGAAGCAGGGACGGCGCGATGCCCGACGACGGCGCGCAGCCGGAGGTGAGCCGCCTGAACATTATTTGGCAGGAAGTGTGACAGCAGGAATTGTATGGTGGCGATTAACTCAACTCACTTCAAAAAACTTGAAAGGAAAAAAAAAAAGGTTGTTCATACCTTATTAAATTTTTTTTGTAATCCGCAGTAGAACATGGGTTGGTTTCACCCCCACGTCACCTATTTCGGACTTTAAAAAAAAAGAAAACAAGCTTTATGAAAAGGTGTTACCGGTGCTCCTCATTGAGGACAATTGACGTCAATGATGCTCAAAGAGTTACTATGCATATTGCATTTTTTTGGGGGGCTGTGGGGGTGGAATGCTGGAACCGATTAGTGGCGTTTCTGTTTATTTCAATGGGAATAGATAATTTGGGTTATGAGTAAATTGTATCTCAAGGGACCATTGTGCTTTTAGTGTAATGCCCTCACAAGTAAAGGGAGAGCCGCAGTCTTAGCAATTGGTGTGTTAGGCATGCTGGGTCTGTAGAAACAATTTTGCGGGATTATTCTGGTGTTGTGAACATTTTTGTGATATTTATTCATCCATGCAGGTAGAGAAGTCAGAGGGTGTCTCTGAGCTGGGTGGGATGATGCAGCAAGTGGAAGCCGAAGGGGGGTCTGCTCTCCCGTCAGTGTCACCCAGTGGACATCTGCAGTACCAGCATCAGGTAATCCCAAAAACTGGACTGTGGACCAAATCGATGGAAAATAAAGACCAAAATCCTGAAACAAAGATCTAAATTTCCCACAAAAACAGGACGAGATGGAACAAAGTTGTCGATCGCTAGCTAACCACCCAAGTCTGTTTTGTTTTTTACTTATATATTTCCTGTAGGTTTTTTTTAAAAGTCAGATGTATATATTTTTGGACCTGTGGCGTCGTCTAAAGAAATGAAATTAATCAAGACACTAATTAAATTGGTTTTGAAAAATAGAGGATAAGTAGTTTGGATAATGGAGGGACGATTTTAAAACTGGAAAGTTTTAATGATCATCTGTTTCTTTTTGCAGATACACACACAATCATTAACCATGCTAAAATGTTCCTTAAAAATGTAGTTGTTTTTTTTTTTTTTTTTTTTAATTATTATTACTGACACCCAACATGTTTGTAGTTTGGGGAGAACCGGCGAATGCTGCAGGCGCTGCGTACCCTGCTGGAGCAGTTTCGGGAGGAACTTCGCGAGGAAGAGGCGCGGCGCTGCCAACTGCAACAGGCCTACGCGAACGACAAAGCCACCTGGGAGGTGAAATGGGCCGAAATGAAGTGCCAGCTCGCTCAGGTACGCGCAGATGGCCTCTCAGCCGGGCTCGACCATAAAGCGACCGAATGTGACGAGAAAACCCCTGACCATGTTGTCATTGTGGAGTAGGAGCGTAATTGAATAATTTATGATACTGTAATGATAACCATTTTATATTTCTTAAAACATAATTATGATATTTTTTTCTTAATCATGATTTACACTCTTTATTTGGCCACATTATTGTATTGTGCAAATGGCCCATTGTAGGACACTGAACCATTTTCCATACCCGTAGCTCTCTCTCTAGTGATGATTTACATGATGTCGCATTTGAGGACATCATGTAAAAAGTACAAAAAAAAAACAGCTTTTCTGAGCGCTTGCGTGATAATATGCAGCAATGTGAACCAATTAAGCATTTTTTTTCTGGGGGATTTTAGGAGGGTGATTATCCAACTGGGCTCGCTTATAATCTGTGCGGTTTTACAGACTCCGTATCCTTCCACGGAGCCGCGTTGAGGTCAACAAGCGCGTGGGAGCTAATTGACTTAGCCCGCTCGAGTAACATCCTGCTCTCTGTTCTGCTGGCCTGCACAGTATTAACAGTTTCGTTGTCAGCGGTCGACTTAAGGCACACATGGGTGTTAGTCACATATCATGTAATTCCCTTTGTTTGATGTTTAGTTTGACAAACTTCAAATGAGAGTACCACTCAACAGTTTGAGGTGCCTTTTTAAAAATAAAAAAAATTGTTGCAAAAAATTGGCCGAACAACAGCTTGCTTCTGGAAAAACTGATAAATTGGACACCAGCGCAGATCTAACTAATCGCACACTGAAGGCGTGCGCCCCAGTTTGTGAAGGCCCGCTTTATATTTATCATAATCTGGTGGTAGCGGAACGAGTACAACAGTTGAGTAATAACCATGTGTGTCGCGCAGGTGGAGGAGGAAGCACGAGGAAGAACGCGAGGCCAGGCTCAGGGGCTCGAAAGTGTAACGTCATCCCGAGACCCCGAGTGGGCCCTGAAGCAGGAGCGCGAGGAGCACCGCCGCCTGTTGGCCGAAAGCCACAACACCTCGCTGGACCTCCGCTGGAGGCTGCAGCACGGCGAGAAGCGATGGAGTCGCGAGAGGGCCGAGCTGCTGGAACATTTTGAGCGGCAGAGGCTGGAGTGGGATGGCGGTACCCGCGAGCTCCATCACAAGATGGAGAGGGTTAGGAGTCATTTTGTTTTTTATTTTCATCCATGCATTACCCGAGTCGCATATCCTCACACTCACAATCCAAAAGCCGCTCCGAAATGTGGAGTTTTATCATATACATTAATTACTAAGGAACATAACAGGAAACAACTGTCAGAAAGAGTTTCAATACTTTTGTCCCTGTGTCAGCTGCAGAGGGAGCTGAACTGCCGGCGAGGCGAAGGCACAGAGGACAGCGGGTCATGCAACGGTGCTCGCTCCCCGCGTTGCCCACGTTCTCCGCAGTCCCCGCGGTCTTCTGCACCCAGCACGGTCCTGCCTGCCCGCTCCCTCTCCGACTCGGACACCTTGCTGGCGGAGCAAGGCGGGGCTGCCGCCGTGAGGCTGAGAAGCCCGACGGAGAGCCCCTTTCTGGATGCTCTTTCTCTGGATCCCCTCGCCAGCTTGGAGGTCCCCCCGCCCTGCAGGCTGGAGAGTGAGAAGCGATTCCCCTGCATGAAGGAGGTAAAAGGTGCAGCTTTGGAGATTGTCCTCAATGTCCGCTCAGTAACTGTAGGTGTGAATGTGCCCTGCGATGAGGTCGCGACCAATTCAGTCAGATTTTCTGCAACCTTAAACAGGATAAAGTGGTGGAAAATGGATGTAGAGATGAAAGACAGACTCTAAATTGTCTGTATGTAACTACTTGGAGATTATGGTCAAAACATTATAAATTAGCCTGATGGGACTCCAACTTCCCTGTGAACATTATTGTATCTTCTTTGTGGCACTCCTGTAATTGACAAGCGGCCAGGCCAGGGTTTGGATTGGGTTGGGCTCTAGTCAGCAGGCCTCACAATATTGAGGAATATTAAGAGTCTGGAACGTGACTGGATGGATTGTGATGGCAATTTTTGTCTTCTAGGCCCTCGATGTGATTTCCGAGAGAGAAGGAGCACCGGATATGTACCCTGATGAAGAGATGAGCGGCGGAAGTTTACTCAGGTGAAATTGCGTCTGCGGATGCAACATTCACATCTAAACAGGATAACCCCACAATAGGATGACTTTGAGTGCATTACAACTCGGAGTAATTTAGAAGACCCTACAAGAAGGGTAATACTTACAGGGGTCCAGGATATTTTTTTTTTTTTCTACTTTACTTCTAAGGTCAAGAAACAAAAATTTCAGGTGGAAATCCATTTTAATTGTTGACACCTTGGTGACCCGAATCATGATGGTTTTGGAATCTTTTTGTGTGTATTGCATCCAGAGCCAAGTCGGTATGCTCCATGAGCGACTTCCAGCGTCTGATGGACAGCTCACCGTTTCTCCCCGACAAGATGCGCCATGGCGAGCGAGGCCAAGACGACGTCACTCCTCCTCTTTCACCAGATGACCTCAAGTACATTGAGGAGTTCAACAATAAGGGCTGGGACTTAGCATCATCCACCGCCGCCACCTTTGCTTATGATGCATGGACCAACAAAACCTCAGACACGCAGGGAGTCGAACCGGTCATGGAGTCCTTCCAACCACCCTCCTGGTTCCTCACGACCAGCGCCAGCCTGACCACCACCAGCACACTTAACAGTCGGGCAGGTGCGGGAGAAGACGCGTATGGGGTCCACATCCTCCACAGCCCCACTAGACCTGGTCCAGAGCCAGACTCTGACCTCCTTTACGCAAAGGGGATCAAGGCGAGAGGCGACGGAGAGGCGGCCGGCGGGTCAGATGAGGTATTCACTGGTGGAAGGTGGCCATGTGGTCTTCTGGAAGCGGGGGGATTAAGGACTTCTCCCAACCAGTCCCCCATTTGCCCCACGGTGGGCTACGCCTCCTCGCTGGAGCTTCAACTCTCTCGGAACATGAGCGATGATATGAAGGAGGTGGCCATTTCGGTGAGGAACGCCATCCGCTCCCCACCGGGGCCCGTGGTCCATGACATAGCCTGCCAAACCAACGGGTTCACCACGCGAGGCACTCAGACCATGCAGACCATCAACGTTGGTCTGCAGACAGACCTGCTGAGGAACCTGACCAACAGCCCCCACCGCTGCCTCACCCCAAAAGGAGGCGGCACCCCCATTTCGTCCCCATCGCGGAATACCAGGAAGGTCCAGTACTCGCCAGTCATCCAGAGTAAGTTTGAGCGGCCCTGCTGCTCGCCAAAGTACGGCTCGCCCAAACTTCAGCGCAAGATGTCCTCATCCAACAAGGCGGAGATGCCCAACACCAGCCGCGCCGCCACCCCTACCACCCCCCAGAAGGGCAACAGCGAGTCGGCGTGGGCGCGCTCCACCACCACCCGGGATAGCCCGGTCCACACCACCATCAACGACGGTCTCTCCAGCCTCTTCAACATCATCGACCACACGCCGGTCGTCTACGACGCCATGCAGAAGTTCAACAAGTCCCCCAGCCGCTCCCGCCCTACAACTGCCGCCGAGCCCAGCGCCGATCCCAGGAGCGCCAGGGGCCGCTCCCCCAGCCCCGTGCAGCTGATAGTGGAGACACAGGGGGACCGCAACGCCGAAGTAGTGAGCATTCGGCAGGACCTGTCGGCGCCCCCGGGTTACACGCTGGCCGAAAACGCCTCCCGCCTCCTCAATAAAAAGCTGCAGGACGAGAGAAGGATGCAGGCAGGAGGAATAGGAAGCAAGATGGCCGACCCAGAGAGAGCACAGCCTGGATGCATGGAGGTAAATAGAGGCCAGAGCCCTTTTTATTTCGGAATAGATGTCAAGGAAATATGTTGAAGTGATATTCTCGTATCTGGTATCTGTGTTTGAGTAGATGGAGATTCTTCTGGGGTTCTTATTTTAGTTTTAGGCCCAACATTTCTATGATCTTTGCTGGGACTTAAGTCTCACTTGAATGGAATGCTGAAACTTCTCCCGACCAAATGAATGTGTCGGCTCAGCCGAGATATGAAAGGGATCATGCTTACAAATGAGTATCACGATTCGTCATAATTAGGGATTAGCCCAAAATGATTTTGATCAAATTGCGGATAATCCCTTTAAGAAGAATCAATCATCACGGATGCATCATGAATTTCTGACCTTGTGGAGTTGTTTTAAACATTTGTTTTAAAGCAGGCAATCAGACTGCCGTTCACACGCAATGACAAAAACTACAATATGTCATGTCAGCATCATCCATCTAACATACAAGCTTCACATTTGATAGCAATCGAACCAAATCGCTCGGCGTTTGTTCTTAAGCTGAGGAAAAGGGTATACTGACCCCAAAGTTGCCACTTTAAAATCCAAATGGCAGATTTCGGGCATGACTTTTGTGTAGATCTACTCATAATCGACGTTGCCATTAAATTTTATGATGCATCAGTGAGACAAGCTTTGGGGCGAAAATCCACTGGATTTATCCTCCTCAGACAGAGGACGGGAAACTCAAGATGGTGTCAGTTCCGCATTGAACAGTATGTTTATTATTGTGCGGTTTGAAGATTTCTAACGCGACTCTTTTACAGCATCATGATTGGCCGTACCTGCGCCAGCGCTTCTGTTGTTATAATCCCAGGTCACCCTCTCGTCTTCCTCCTCAGTTTAACCCCTTCCTGGTTTGTCTATCCCTCCCTCACCCCCCTCCCCTCCCCCGCCCCCTCCCTCTTTGCTCCAGAAGCACACTGTCATACTAACAACTCCATGGGGACTGTAAGTCTCCACGATGTAAGTTCCCTCCTCCTCCGAGCCACATGGAACACCATCCCCATTATGGATCAGTCACCTTGTCAATCATTTGAATGCATGCTTCACAGGGCCACGGGCAGAAAGAGGGCAAAGGTTCACATGTGACATCAGTCCCCCTTTAAAGGACCGTCCGTGCTGGTGTTTTGCTACCATACAACATGGGTCTTAATATGTCCAAATTTGTACTATTATTATTAAACTGCATATGATTTCATGTTTGGGGGGCGAACTGCAACATGTACTACAGTTGTGCCTTCATTCAAGAATTCATTCTGTTACCACGCTTGTAAAACGCATTTTTTATTTCAAATGATCTTTCTCCACCGACAGGGGCACAGCCAGAATTTTTTTTTCAGTCGGGCGGCAAAGGGTGTTTCGACGACTCACTAAAGGGTGGCTGTAGAATGGAGGCGCGCGCACATACACGCACAACTGCGATTTAGCAACTCGGAGATTACGAGATCCGCTTTGGCTATGAAGTCATTACTTATCGTACATCCACAGTCAGGGATTCACTAAATAACACCCACATATAAACCAACCTTGCCCAACACACTTATAATACAAACGGGGGAAAAAGCAACATTTTGCTGAGTTCTAAAGAACCTTGAGATTCTAGAAAAAAAATATATTTTCACAGTATTCTACTTTTTTGTGAAAAGGCTATTTCTTCTTTCTCCAATGAAAAAAGAAAAATGATTCTTCGCAAAATATAACTTTTTTTTTTCCTCTTGAAAAATATCCCCATTTCATTATGTTCCTCCTTTTCTCTGGAAAAATATTTTAGTTTCTTGAGAAATATTCCCCCCGGCAAAAAATCCCCCACCCCTTGAAAAAT